AAAACTGTTTACTGTCCAGTGGTATCAGCCATTATTGCTGCCTCTCTGTGCTCCTAGTTTCACAGATGCATGTTTTTGCTATGCTAATTGTCAAAAAAGCCAGCTGAAGCAATCTGGAGATGAGAACTGTCAAGGGAACAGTGCTAAGGAAGTGGCTTAGTCTTCACTCCTAGGTTGTTTTTTTGGGGGTGATAATTATACTTTTATTCGGGTGCACTACATCTGTATTTTGCTCATATGTGGGACATTGTGTTATACAGTCGAGAACTTCGAATGTGGTGTTGATTTTACGTGCATGCCTATTCGGACAAAACCTGATAAATAGGCCTGTTTCGTTCTGGGATCCTTTTGACCTTCTCCATGGAGCACATTCCTACTGCTTTTTCTTTTAATATATATGGAAAAGGCCATAATACTGAACCCAGAGTTACTTGTTTCAAATTGCATTGCTTATACTCGCATTCAGATTGAAGAAACTGGTTTACGGTTTTAAAACCAGTTGTGTTCTTTGTTTGGGTGTGATGGTAACTCCTGGAGCCTGGAAACGACCTGTATCATTTCCAGCATGGTAGCGCCACGCCACGGTGGTTTTGGATCCTGTTGGGCAGCTACGTGGTGTTAAGCAGCGGCTGTTCTTGCTTCAGGTCTCTAAAAGAAACTACCAAAAATGATTGGAAAGCTGATCGAGTCAATGGGAGTGTGCTCTCCTGTTCTCACTCCACCATCATTTAACATGTGCTCTCCTTTTCCTTCCCCGCCGTGGGGAAACTCACTCTGAATTGGGGTTGCTTTAATGTTTTTGAAGACCGCTCCTGCTTTCCACCGTGCTCTGGCCCAAATAGTAACGCGAGAAAGGCCCATTACTGAGCTGTAAGAGAATACTGTAAATGGGTTATGCAGAAAAACCATTTAGATAAAAATGCAATTTTCCCTTCCACACACAGTGCTAAGAATTAATAGCACATTTGTTCTAAATGGGTACTTTCATATTATATTTTTATCCTAATGAAATTCTTTCCAAAACAGGAGTGTTTCATTTAAAATTTTTGAGCAAAATTGATCTGCCTTTATCCCAACCAAACTGGTGTCCCAGTTTTCTGCAGTGGCTTTTTTTTTTCTTCTCCCCGCTAGTTAAATCTTGCTGGAAAGGCTGTTACTTTAGAATAATTTGGAACTTTGTGCAAACTCCGTGCATGCTTGAAAACTGCACCTTGGGACCCAGATACGGGCTCAGATTGATTCTTCTTTCCGTCGCCTGGCTGTAAGCTGCTGGGTATTTCTTATACATGAAATTCCACGTTTTGATTTGTTCCTTTCGACCGAACGCTCTGGATGTCAATTGTGCTCTGCCTGCCTTGGTTATGAGCTCTCAGCTCATGGTCGCAAAGCAAGGCAGACACTAATATGTCACTTACTGAGTCAGTTTTGCAAGAAATACTACGGGAGAGAGAACTACCAAAGCCAAAGGTTAGATGGCTACTTTGTGGTCTCTGCCGAGTTTCCCCTGTGAGGGTGTTGGGAAATAATCCATCATTTTAATAAACCCACAGCACAGATGGTTCCCTTGAATGCATCATTATATGCGACTGTGAGCGAACGTTTTGTGACAATAGTACCCAGAACCATTTCTTTGAATGTTTTTAAGCATCTCTGAAATGATTTCTTAACAAACAGCTTTTCCCCTGGAAGTGAAGAAATACCCGGTGGAAAAGGAGGGCGTGCTGGGCTGGGGGCAGAGGGTGGGGGCCGGCGGTACAAAGCCCCTTGGGCAGGGAGAATGAAAGCTGCTGCAGAGCCGGCCTGGGCTTGGCGGTGAGGCTGCTCTCGCTTCCCTTGTTGGGCGGTTCGTAGAGCGCCGCAAGGCCAGTGCTTTCCACGAAGGGTCGTGGTAGTGACTTCGGTGCCAGGTGGGTCAGGGCAGCACGTCCCACCCGCCGTTCTGTCCCTAGCCTGTCCCATGAGGCCTGGCCTGGAGCAGGAAACGGGTGCTGAGTTCTCCTCCCCGGTTGGGCACTTTGCACAGTTTGGAGGTGCGTGCACCCTGCTCGTGGTTGGCAAGAATTCCTCTCCCTCTGCAGTCTTAGCATTATCTTGCTGTTTTCTTTTTAGGGCAATTATATCACAACCAGGCCCCAATGTGCTGCTGTCATTGACTCCAGCTTCATGCAGTCATGGGTCATTAGCCAGTGCATGTGAAAGCCAAGGTATTTTTTCTTCCCTCTGACAGCTTTTCCTTGGATTAGAAGGAACAGTTCCCAGATATGAGTGAGTAATGGTCATTCTTCCATTGATATAGGTATTCATAAGACAAGCAAGCACATTTGGGTTATAATAGCCTTTCCAGCAAGCATGCTATAGTCATAAACAACCTGTCTCGGGCAATAGAAAATTAAACCTTATATTTGTGCTTTCAACTGTTTCCTCTTTAATAAAAGGGTTTCTCTATAACAATTGAGAATAAAGCTATATTGTAGGAAAAGGACAAGGTTCAAGCAGATTTTTGCTGCTCAGGCTTGCAAAACCAAACACAACAAAAAGAAAAACCCCAACTCCAAACCCACCTTTTTATTAAAAAAAATAAAAATAAAAAAAATTGTTGGCTGTTCTCTGATCCGAATCATCGACGCACACGACTGGTGTTTAGCGTGCGCTCAGGATGCTGAAGGAGACCACATACCTCGAGAGTCTCAGGCTTCTCATAAAATGCACATCTACTTAGACGGTACCTTTTAGTGGCCCCTTGCTGTGTCTTTTGGGAGAAGTCTGTCTTCAGGTGGCTTTCTCTTTACTGCAGATTTTCTCCAAAACACTAAATAGAGCAAAAGGACATCATTATTCTGCAGAACGCGCGCTGCCCTTTGGAGCGTTTCGCTAGGATGCTGATCAGCCACCGAGGCGCTTGTGCCCTTAATGCTATTTAGAAAATACGTCTGTCTGGAAAGGGGCTCTGCAGCGGGAGACCGTTAACTTCCTTGCCCTGGTTTTGTTTCCTCGCTTGCATTCAGAAAACCTGCTCCTGCCCCTGTTAAAATTAGGAGCAACGTTCCCGTGGACTTCAGGGGGTTGGCCCCAAAGCGCGGAGGGGACGCAGCGGCCACATTTATTCAGATTTGTTAGTTGTTTTAAACTGTAGATTAGCTGTTCCCCAAGAATTTAAAGATTTTTAAAATAGTCCTGAGCATCTGTCATCTGGTTGAGCTCAGTGCTGTAGCGGGCAGAGGACGCGCAGCCATCCTCTAGGCACAGTTCACAGGCAAACAGAATAAAAAGATGAAGTCCTGGTGACCGCTAAAGGCCCCTCTGCAGCTTTCCAAAATGTAACGCTCTTTATTGAGGGGACAAAAATGCTGTATTCAAAACCTTACGACTATCTTCAAACCCAGCGGGAAGCAAAATTCAGCATGCACTAGAAATATAAATTTAAAAAAAAATCCTTGCCGCATATAGCTGTCTATTCAACCATTTCTTGGTCCTTGCAATTCATCCTTCACCAGCTGAAAAAGATGGAAATTGAAATACTTGTGGAGTCCTCTATTTGACTGGTTTTCTATATGCTAGAGCTAATTGCAAAGAATAAGCAGTGAAGAGTATCCCCCCCTTCAGCTCCTATTTGCAAACTACTAGCAAACCGATTTAAAAATTCTTGAGTAGGTTACTTAAAATGTATTTTCAAGTTTGTTTAGCAAATAATAATTCTCCCGCAGGCTGTAAATTGCAAGCGGTTTTGATTTTTTTCAATTAATGTACTGTCTTGGTGAACAAGGTCATGGCCCGCTCCCTGCCTGGAAGACTTGCATCTAAGCGGCAAGGTGCTGGTTGCACGTTCTGTTGTTGCCTCGTGTCTGCACCGAGCGGTGCGGGGCGAAGCCCCCCTGCCAGGGAACAGAAGCACTTCTTACGTAATGAGCTAATACGGCATGGGAGATCAATTGTGTATTCAAAGGCAGAATTCCCACCGTGTCAGTCACTTTGTGCGATTTGCCGAGCGGGTGCGGGGTGGATCACAAATCAGGATTGAATTTTATAATCAAATATGCAATTCAGTGAAGCAGATCATGTGAATTTAAACATTTCAGTTTAACACTTGCTCTTCACAGATGTTTGATAATGAAGCGCTGATTCTTGGGGGGGGTTTGGGCAACAAAGTCACAAAAATGACGGGACCAAAATGACTCCCTTAACTAAATATTTGCGAGTGATTGTGCTTTCTGCTTGCTCGCTTCTAGCATTGGAGAGGAGGGAAAGTCTGAAGCGTACCATAATGTCGCTGCTATTATTCTTAGTTAATATTTGTGTTACGATAATGCTTCAAGGTCCCAGTTGGTATCGAGCCCCTCCTGTGCTAGTCCGCGTAACAGTGGGTGTGACTATGTCGATTTTTGAATATAGACCTCAATAAAGAGCACCTCATCCCCCACCCCCCAAAACACCCCATAAATTAGTGTGTCTAGTCCTTGTGCAGCCATCTTACAATTAGGAAATCCTAAAAGATGGAGCAGTGCAAAAAGAAGCCAAAACAACAGTTGCTTTGTGGACGGTAGCCAGTCAAACGATTGGGCCACCGTCAGCCCTCCTACGTCCGCCAAGTCGTTGCCCCAGGACCGGCGTGATCACCTGGTGGGAGAAGGTCCCGTAAGGATTTTCAGGGTGAAAGGATGCTGCCAGGCCTGGCTCGTTAAACACATGCATGCTTTCTCCCGTTGCGCGTTAGCGGCTCGGTGGCGGTCGTGCTCGGACCTGGCGGGAGCAGGAAGCTGCCTACCTCGGGGTCGGTTCTGGCAGGAGAAATCTTTCCAAGAACTTGCTCTGCCATTGTTTTCTCTTGACGTGGCGCACAGCTGTACCCTTGGTGATGTAGCGGCCTGTCTTTTGTTTCCAGTGTGTCATATTCATTCCCCGATTTCTAGTAGACATCGCTGAAGCTTTTTAACTCCTCCCCCCACCCCACCCTCTCCCCCCCAAAATGAGCGCGTAGAAAAATTTTATTCAGAACAATTTAATTTTTGATTTTATATTTTATTCCTTTTCAGGATTTTTTTTTTTTTTTTTTTAAACAAAACACAAATCACTCTGTTACCTCCCCTCTCATTTTATTGATGTTGTGCGTTGTTGGGTTGCCATTCGAGTCTCGCTGCAGCAGTGCAGAGGATACAGGAGGGTCCCTCCCACTTTTTTTACATTCTATTGCTTTTCAAAACTTTTGTCACTTTGGAGACATGATAGCATGTCAAGAGGAAAACGAATCTCTGTAATTCTACCGCGAACTTCAACTTCAGAGAAGTTTTTGAAAGTATCCGAGTGCAAGAGCGCGGGGGGGAGGGAGTTCTAGATTTCTCCGCTCGTTTGGTTGCAATCAGAGGCACAGAAAGGGGGAGAACAGATTAATTTTTCCTTTTGGTGCGCTGTTGTTTTTCCAGAGTTGGTGAAGGTTTGAAAAAGCAGCCTTGAAAAAAGGAGAAGAGACAATGATTAGGAAACCCTGCACAATTCAATCCTGGAAGCTCTTTGTTGAATTGGATTCAAGCCCAAATAGGGAAAAAAGAAAAGAAGAGGGAGAGAGGAGGACAACCCACATTTACAAAAATACTGAAAACGTTTTATAAAAACTTTGGGGGGGGGAAAAATCCAAACGGTTACGTCCCCAACTCTGTAAAACTAAAATAGATTTGAAATTTCAAAACTGGTGTGAAATTTGTTTTTCCCGTTTCTTGACCAGGCTCAAACTGTGGCTCAAACCTGTTCCCCTTTGGAGTATCTCCTGCATTCCCTGGCAGGCTCGTGGGAATGGCAGAGGCGCACCTGCAAGGGCAGACTAGAGGTCTGGCTGGGGCTTGGACTTGATGTGACCTCCTGAGGTCCTCCCAGCCCTCGTTATCTTTGATTGTCTTTCTCCTTTAGACGGTCACTTCAAACCCAGCCCAGGTCAGCAGTGTCCAGATTCGTTTCTCCCTGGAGCCTGTCTGTTGGTTTGCACGGGGACAGCGGTGGTCGGTCTGGGTCCCAGTAGCTGAGCATGCGCATTACAAGCCGCTGCAGGGACTGGCATTAATTGAAGTCCTCTTGCCATCTCAGCAGAGGGGCTGTGGGTTGAATGGTCCTTGTGGACCCAACTCTCCTCTCGCCCCTTCACGTCAGAGGTGAGAAATGGTGGCAAGAGACCTGGTGGGTCTGTGGATGTTCTCGTTTCACGCCTTAAATGTGTCCTCCTTCGCCAGGGTGAGCTTCATATTGCACCCTGGGAGCGGGGAGGAGGTAGGGGTGGTTAGAAAACCCCTTCAGATGTTGTCAAGATTGCAAATTCAACAAGGGCCCCAAGGATTTACCGACACGTGGCGTTTCAGCTGCGTGGACACACCGGTGGCCCGGTCTGCCACTGCTTGCGGTGCCTTCCCTCCTGGACAAGGGCGGACCCGGCAGGGGAAGGAGCTGAGCGCTTTCTGGCTAGGTCGGTGGGTGGCCCTCGCAGCAGCAGTGGCAAGTGAGCCGGTCCCGGCTCGGCAGCGTTCCCTTGTTGTAACCCGGATGCTGCTTCATGGGCATAAATGCAACAAAACTGGGAAATGACCTCTAAATGGGGCTTGTCCCTTGCATCTCGCTGAACGTGTGTTTGCCGTGCCGGCTCTGAGACCTGGTGATGTTTTTGAACGGGGTTTTGTACTCCCAGGAGTCAAGCGAAGCACTCAGAGGGGCTGTCTGTAAACCCGCACGCGAGGGGAAGGGGGAAGGGGGAAGGGGCCCTTTGGAGATTAATTAAACAGAAAGGCCTCGCCGTAGATGCAAGGTTTTCCTGATAAGCCGCAACCCCTCACCGAAGTGTGCTGCCAGTTGTTGTTGCTGAATCCCAGCTCTTGGAGGAAATCTGAGAGATCTCCCCTTTCTCCTCCTCCTGTCCCCCACCTCTCCGTCCTCCCGCCTGCGTGCTTATGTATGGTTAAGTTTTCTACGCCAGCGAGAAGCAGAGTGGAAATGTCAGGGGTCAGGCTGCAGGCAGGCAGGGGAGCAGGCGGCGGACCGGCTTCAGCTGCAGTCTCCGACTTTCTGAGAAACCCGAGCTGTGTTCCCGGGAAGGTTAACTCTTTCCAGCACAGCTGCCTCCCTGCCCACGGGGACCTCAAGAATGTGTTTAGCAGCTATAATCTCTTAGGATAGCTTTGGGTCCAGGGTTTTCTGGACAGGTGCAAACAGTGAAGTGGTGCTGAATACAGTGGCCTTCATCCGGCTTCTTGTTGCAGCCTCAGATTGACCCCCCTGAGAAGATGCGACTGCCTGGGTCCTGTGCTCGGGGAGGAAAGCTACATGGGAAACTGCCGTGCTGCTGTTCCAGAGGCGGAAGGACATGGGATTTCTTTGTGCCTGGCCGTGTGAAAAGCACCGTGCGCACCATGAAAAGCAAAGCAGGACTTTTCAGAACGGCTCTTGGAGCAGCGACACGGCTCGCTGTCTTCCACGCCAAACAATAATAAATGAACCCGATGCACGAACCCCGTTGCAAACCGGCGTGCAGGTCCGTGGTGGGTCTTCTGCCTTTGTGTCCCCCCAGCGCGCCGTGCATTGTCCGGGCTCAGATGCAGACAGCTTAGCCGTTTGCGAGGGAGTGAGTTGGCGGGTCCTTGGGGAGCGCTCAGTGCAGGAACCGCAGCACCCCCTTCCCTCTGTTGAAATCGTAGCTGTTTTGTCACCCGAACGCTTCGGGTAAGCTGAGCAGGCACCGATTTTATGTAGCCCTTGGTGGTCAGTAAATTCCCTTGGGTGACATCCCAGCCCTGTGGAAGTCTGTAGCCGTTCCAGCCCTGACCGCTCTTGGGATCCTTGCCCCCGTACTGGGCAGCCTTCCCGGTGCCACGCTGACCCATGCTGTCTTGTGTTGCCTTGCCTTGCCTAGGATGGTACTGGCGGTACTGGGAGGACTGGCTGTGTTGAGCTCTGGAACCACCAGCCTGGCCCCATGGGAGCTGCTGGGAGTGGGGGGGGCTGTGTTGCCCCTGTGATTTAGGCACTTTCTCCTTTTGTGCCTAACACCTTTTCGAGTGGCTTGGCAGTGTGGAGGCCGGCAACTCGCCTGTCTTTGGCCAAGAGGCATTTTTGAAGGGAAAACGACAAACGAGAGGGTGTGAAGTGACCAGTGTGGGGCAGAAGGCCTTGGGGGGGGTCTGGGGGGGGAGGTCGGGAGACACGCTCGTGTATGAATCCCTTTGCAAAGTCTCGGGCTTGCCATTATGTAGTTAATGACTTCTGTGATGCTAGCTGTAGGCTGTGCCCTCTTGCACATGTGGGCTGAGTTAGTGTGTTCACACACGTGCCTTGCTGGCTGGGCACAGGGCTACAGCGCTCCTCGAATGTGCTGGCTCACGTGGTGCAGTCCGTGATAGCATGTGTGTGCTAAGTGTATCATTTACACCCACAAAAGGCTAGGTCCCGCTGCTGCGGTTCAGGGCAGCGTCTCCCTGCCGTGCGAAGAGAGTGGGCTGCAAGAGCGGTGGCTGAGGCTGTCCTGTGCCCTGACGTGTGCTGGGAGAGGCGTGTTCCCTATTTCCAGCCTTCGCTGCATTTCTCACCGAAAGGTCTTTCCATGTAGCCTTTGCTGCACAAGTCTTTCCTTACCCCTTTCCCTTGTGTTAGTGCAGCCAAGAAAAGGTGTCACTTGGCTCTGCCTGGAAGGTACTTCTGCCGCGGGGGTGTGCATGTGCAAGTGCAAGGAGAATGGGTTGGGGTCAGTCCTGAGACGCAGGGGGAGTGCAGCAGACATTCAGCCCTGTAGTTGTGGGGGGGTTGTCTTGGCCTCCATAATGAGCACCATAAAAACACATGTCTGCAGCCCTTCTCACGCGGGGCTGGAGCAGCTTACGGGCTCTGCTGCTCGTGTGTGGACCCGTTACGTCTCCCGGGGCCGTCTGGGATTCCAGATGCGACTTTGGGGCGAGGTGAGGAAGTTGATTTCAGTATTCAAATATGCGAGCTGCGCTCAAACCAAACAGCCCCAGATCTTTGTTTGTTGCTCAATAGGCCGTGCACACGAGTGACAAGCAGACACCAGCCCCCAAATGCAGCTTTGTGTGTAGTGGGGGTAGCCAGACCACGGAGAGCTGAGAAGCTGTCCAAGTGCGAGCCCTGCTTGATATGCGCTGCAAAAAGGCGAGAGCCCCCAGGACAGAAAGGAAATGTCGTTGCTCCCACCTGGTCCCCTGTGAAAGCTGCCCATCACTGTGCGGCTGCCGGGGCCACGTTTTGGGGGATGCCGTGGCACCGCGGTGCCCAGCGGTCCTCCGTTCTGTGCCTTTACCTGCCGCGGCTGTGTAGGTTGGTGCTCTGGGGGCGCTAGATTTCCTGAGAGCGGGAGTGCAGAGCTGTTGGTTCCCAGCACCAGAGGAGCTGCTTGTCGTCAGTTAGTTTTATCTTTGAAATTATTTTTGGAGGTTTTGTGGAAAAGCAAAGGCCAGCTGGCCCGGAGGAGAGCTGGGAGGAGCAGTGCTCTCGCTTTTGAGTTGACAGGAGAGGAGACCGTCCCAGTATGGTCTACCGGCCGACTGCCCAATGTACTGGGTTTTGAAACCTTAGAGTTGGTTTTGGTTCAAGGGATGAGCACTTGAGGAAAAAATGCAGCTCTCCGAGTTCGTCTACACAGAGATTTCTCCCTATAACAGCTGTCTGCTCCCACCACGTTGCTTTTTCTGAGAGCTGAATGAAGACTCTGCAGTGACCCGGCTCTTGGAGGGGAAAATATGCTTATATCCATCCTCTCAACAGCAAAACCTTTAGACGTGGTGAACAAATCTAGTTCCATCTTTTTCCAGTGGATTTTTCTTGTCCCCAGCCCCCTTTCACACAGCTATGTGTTTCTATCTGATAGTTTCTTTTTCTCTCTCCAGATTTTGTATACAAATGTTAAGTCCAAGCTTGCTGTAACCTTTATCAGCTGGCAGAGCATCCGCTACCTCGCTGCCCCTTCCTGCCCATTTTAGTGGGGGTTGCAAGATGAATCGGTGCTTGGTGGGGAGGACTTGGGCTTCTTCACGGGGCCTGGTGGGGTGCTGTTTTTTGGATGTCTGACTCCTTATGTAGTTAGAAATAAGTAAGAGCAAAAGGATAAGTAAGTGCATTGGGAAAGTGTTTCTGGTCTAGAGGAATGAGTTGTTCCCCTCCCACCCCCGTTCCTTGCACATGGGTGGCCAGCATCTGTCGTGCCCGCCCTGCTGTCCATTGTGCTTGCATGTGCAGTGCCATTTTGTCCGTGCCCTGCTGAGTGGTGAAATCCTAGACAATGAGGGTTGAAGGGTGCTCTGGAGGTCACATCTAGTCCTACCCCCTGCTCCAAGCAGGACCAGCCCCAACTGCAGTATCCCAGCCAAGGGTTTGTTGAACTGGCCCTTAAAAACCTCCAAGGATGGAGACTGCACCACCTCTTTGGGTAACCTTGTCCCAGTGCTTCACCACCCTCCTCATGGGAGAGTTTTTCCTAATATCCAACCTCCACCTCCCTTGCTGCAACGTGAGCCCGTTGCTCCTTGTCCTGTCATCCGTGGAAATGGATTGACCTCCTTTCGATTTTAGGGGAGATGGCTTGCAAGGGACTGCTCCTTGTGCACCCAAACGCGTGTCCCTGGGAGATGTTTCCAGGTAATCCTGAAGAACAAATGGGACAAAGCGGGCCAAGGTGCCACGTGTGGTCTCCTCTCGGGTACAAGACCCCCGTTGGGAACTGCGGTTGTACTTTCACCATTTCCCTTGTGCTGGTGAGGTATAACCCAGAGTCCTAGAGTGTGCCACAGCCGGAGATGTGCGAGGCCCATGGGAGCCATTGACTTTGCCTGTGGCAGTTGTGTATTGCAGTCCTTCGTAATTGTGAATTATAGCTGCAGCAGAGGCACCTGCCAGGCAGGACTGGGGAGGACTCGGAGACGAGGCAGGGCCTGAAGGGAAAGCCCGAATCACGGGCAAACTGCTTGTGGTCAGGGGTCATCAGCTACTAAGCAGTGCTTGCTGCAGCACTTAGGGCAGACGGTACTTTTAAATCTCTGAAAGCATTTGGGTGTTTCCCTCGCACTGATTTTGGTGGGAATCAAGTACCAAATTCCCCTTTAAAATTCAGCCCCTGGACCCATCCCTTCTGAGCACGAGACGCACGGTCCCACGGGAGAGGGAGGTGGGGTAGGGATGTGAATCGTTTTTATACTAAGTTTAACGTGAGCTCGTTTTCATTTTGTATCCTAAAGCTAGGCAACCTCAAACAAAGGCCCGGGAAGGGAGTCTTTTTCCTTTCACCGTGTTTTCAGTTCGTTTAAGGAAAATAGATGTTTTAAAATGTAATATGTAGGGTTTAAATCGCCTCCTTAGTGTTGTCATTTCGGTGCGTTTCCAGCAATTATGTAGAAGCCGTTTCAGGAATCTGGGGAGAGGGAGCTGGGATTTACATGTTTCTCTCTCCGGTTCACTCTGTGCATAATCACCATCTATTTGTTGCCTTTACAAACTCCATTTATACACCCACTTCCCTTGCCAGTGCGAGTGGGCATTTTAATGCTATTTTTGGAAGCTGGTTCTGCGCACTGAACCCACATTAGACTGAAAGTAATATTAGTACTTCTGACCTGGGCGTCCTCGAGATGAAATGAGCTGCAGCAAAGCTCACTGCAATGATACGACTGGTCGTAGAGCGAACTGCCTCTTACAGTAAATATTGCTCTTTCGGTTACCGTATTGTGGTTGATGCGAATGGTTATGTCCACAGTTAGCCTGCAGACCCGCGTTCACGAGCCAGTATTGGACCTGTTTTTCATTATTTAATATACATTTAAAGGCGACTTTATAACAGGAAAACAGCAGGCGAATCAATACGGTCTGTTTTCAGGCCAGTGCTCCTCTCCCAAGACCTCTTCTTTCAGGCTGCTTAACGCTTCTCACCAACTAATAAGAGGCTTTTGAGGCTGTTGCATTATTGGGGACCGGTCGGTAGGTGGCTCTTGGGGGAGGAAAGGGGCTGTGAAGTAGAGTCAAGCGTATAGAAATTGCAGGCATTAGTCATTATTAATAGGCTCGGGTTCTTGCTAAATGTCAGGGTGGCAATTTAAAGCCGTATATGTAAGCACGGTTTCGTGCAATTTTGCCCTGTCCTGAAATCTTACTGAGCAGTGCCCAGGAGTGGGTTTCAGTGATGTGAACCAAGATTTAACCGCTCCTTGGGGTCTTTGTGGGGTCAAAACCCTGCCCTGATTTCTTTCTTTCTTATTTTTTTTTGCAAAGGGGGATCTTTGTGGGATTGCACTGGCATGGGGCATCACTGCGTGGCGACTTGCTGGGAGCCACCCACGTGTGCGAGGCCAAATTAAAAACATTGGGTGCAAAAGCCAGCAATTCTCAGCTCCTCCCAGGGTGTGTGTGCCTGCTTGCAATAAAAAAAAAAAAAAAAAAAAAAGAGATTAAAGTACTTAAAAGGCAACTGAGTGAAGTCAGCTAGCAACCTGGGGAATATCTGACCCACGAGCCAGCATGCCCTTCTGCAGCAGGGCTCTCCTCTGCATACTGAATGCAGAGCCCCCCATAACGCCCTGGCTCTAATCTGCTTTCCCGGAGAGCTTATAACGCTTCCTCTCCCCGCCACCAGTTTAGGATGCAGCTGCGAGAAGGTGGGAGGGTGGGCCGCAGCGATGGGCTGGCTGCCAAGCAGCTACACGGCCTGGCCCGGGTTTTTGTCTCTGTGTTCCCCGAGCGAGAACGGTTTGGGGAGAGACCCTCTGCAGGCCTCTCCTGACAGACGTCAGCCCCCGCGCGCAGCGCGGCAGGGACGGGAGCGCGCTGCCGAGCGTGGAAAGCTGCTGCTCCGAGCTGGAGGTCGGTGGGAACGCGGCAGACTTCCCAGGGGGGCCGCGCGGCTCCGAGCGCTCGTCACCTCCGTGCGAGGGGCAGTCGTAGTGGCCGGCAGGGGTTTTATGAGCCTAGACAGCAGCATGACTCTTCCTCCGTGGACCGTGTTTGCAGTGTTTGTGCACGCCGCCCACCCGCGAAGAGTCATGAGAAAGGTCTTTGTAGCCTGGTTTTGGCACGCTTAGGCATTGGGCAAGCACTTGGTGCTCCCAGTGGGTTTCGTGGCTTCCCAGGCAGCAGGATACGGTGGAATCGGCTGCACTGAATTTCTAAACCAGCGCAGGCTTTCTGTTGGACCTTGCAAAAGTGGCTTGGGGTTTGCAGGTGGGCTTTGGGAAGAGGGGGTCATGACCTGGGTGCAGCCCCACATGAGACCTCTCTGTCCGTGAAACCAGTATAGACCAGTTCCACGGGGATGGCTGCTGGTTGCGCGTGCAAGAGCGGGTCTGGTTGGATAACAAGCGGAGCCCGTTCTTTGCGAGTCCGTGGCGGACTCGACCGTGACTCGCCTGGCCAGGAGCACAGCGGCACCGGAGCCGTGGCAGCAGCGTGAGCTATCCCGGCGGCGTCCGATGGGAGCCGTGGAGCGGGTTCCTTGGCCCTGTGTGGCCGGGCGGCGCGGTTTCCGGTCCACGAACACGAAAGCAGGCGGGCAGGCACAAGTGTGTGAAGTGAGTGGCGTGCTGCAAGCCAGCCCCTGGGCTAGAGCTAATGTGTTCAACTGAAGGGACCAAGTGGAGGAGCCCAGAGAAGTGGAGTCTGTTTCAAAGCTGCCTGTTGCCCTTTCCCGTAGGGGCCGTGTCCCTCGCCTGCAAGGCCGTGGGGCGCGGGCCTGTCCTCCCCGCCCCTGTCCTTTCTCCCCTGCCTCCAACTCGAGGTCACGCTGCACTTTGAGCTCAGTGCTGCCTCTGCCACTCCCCCCAGTTGGTCCTTTATCTGGTTGGGGAGTTACTGCCAGCACCGGATTGGGGCCACGTTAGCAAGTCGAGTGCGTCCAAGAGCCCCGCGGCCTCCCTGCCCGCTCACGATGCTGGTGAGGAAGGTGTGTCCGGCCGTTAACCCTGCCACCCCCCCAGGGTCTCTTCCCTCCCGCGGCTGTTCCTGGTGGATGCAGGTGAAAGGAGCAAAGAATAAAACGGAGACGCCCTTTTGCAGCAAGCCTTTGCTCGCCTTCATCTAACCTGTGCGCGAGCAGCGAGCGTCGGCGGAGCCCCTTGCCAGCTCGCAGACCACTGAAAGCAAAGCAAACATCTTTGCAACATGCTCTGATACACGCTCCCTTTAGAGCGGCAGGCACCTCCAATTAATCATCCTGTCCGGGAAGGAAGAAGCTTTGAAGATTAGGGGACACTTGCCAAAGCTGACGGCTGAGGAAGGCGGGTGGGCACGGGCTCAACATTAAGGGTATATGGGCTGGGTTCCCAGCTGGGCGAGCAGTGGCAGCCCTGGCTTCTCACTTTCCCCGTCTACATGAGTGATGTCTCTTCCGCGCGAGGCTTTCACCAGCAAAGTGCTGGGGGTAGATGAGCAGGACGGGGTAGTTTTGCTACGCGCTGAACTTTTACCGCGGAGCCCGATGGCCTTTGTGAGAAAAAGCTTTTACCGCGTCGGTCGCCTGGTTATAAAAATTCTTAGGCTTGATGCCTGTAATAAATCCCGGGGCTGGCTGAGCCAAATGACTTCTTGAAATGTTAATGGCCAAGATGCGGGCGATCCCCTGGAGTTGAGGGGGTCTGTGCGTGCAGCAAAGGGCAACTCCCTGTTGAAACCGTGCACGTCATCACGAGCCGCGGATGCGCCGTATCCGCCCCGTGGAGCCACCAGGCCGGCTCGGTCTTTTCCTTTAGCTGCATCCGCTCGGCAGCGAGCACGGGAACGCGCCACGTCTCTTTCTTGTGGGCTTTAAAGAAGAGGCCAATGTCGTGCAGAAAAAAGGGGCGGGAAGTGAGGCCGGTGGCGGGTCGGTGCGCGCTGCCTACGAGGGACAGCCGGGGACAGGCGGCCAGTCCAAGGTGCACCGGTGCCGGGGGCCGGGTGTGAGACTGCCCGCAGAGCGGGGCGGGCTCACTAAAACGAACAGCGCGCGACACCTTTCTTTGCGTGTACGGACGCAAGTGAAAAATAAATGTTTGCATATCCTCCTGGCGCGCCAGACAAGCTCCCAGCGCTTCATCAGTGCTGCCTTAGCGAGCAGCTAAGTAGCTTGTTTGTTTCTCCACGCCAGCGCTCCCCTTTGAAGAGCAAATTGACCTGCAGAGACTAGATCCAGGGCGGAGAGAAACATGCAACGTTTTCAGACCTTATTTCTCTCAAAAACTGGAAGAGATGATGCCGGGGCGCGTACAAATGCAGAGCAATGTGCCCGAACCAATATGTCAAACTGTCACGCGGGAGATTTGGTGAAAAACATCTTGTCCTGAGGGAATCATTTTAAACGCTATATGTAGGTTTGTAGCCTCGTAAGAGATCATTACTCAAATCTATTCCCTCTGACGGTGGCTCGGCCCTACTTAACGTGCTCAAAATGAGCAGCGGCCTATTAACGTGGCCTCCAAGAGTAGTTACGGGATGGTCGGGGGAAACGGATCTCTGGTCGGGGAATACAGGATGTGGAGCCAAATCATCCGATTTAGCCTTAACGAGATCGGTAGCCGTCCAAGAGCTTCACGCTCGACTAGTCATCGAGGGCGGGCTGAGGCAGGCCGGGCCCACGCTGCGCGGGGCGACGGGCTCTGGGGCAGCCGGGGAGCAGGAGCCGAGGCTTTGTCAGAGCCGGTGAGGAAGTGTGAGGGACGAGCCCCGAGGCGGGCACCGGTCCGGGATCTCCACCTCCTGTTTGTCACTTCAATCTGGCAGCAGCGCTGACATGGAGAGCGGACCCCCTTGCAGACTGCCGGCGAGGGCTCCCGCGCTCCCCTTGTCTGCGCGCGGCTCTTCTCCCCTCCTCCCGCCTCGGTTTTGTTCCCTGCAGAACGGGCCGCAAACCTGCCTGGTCCCTGCCCTGCCCCGGCCCGGGGCCGTGCGGGGTGCGTCCGCGCTGAGCAGGCGAGGACGTTGTAGTGGGAGCCGAGTTGACGTGGTGCCTGCTGGGGCCAACCAAGGGATCCGGAGGTGCTTAGTTCACAAGTGTCTCGTTAGTGACTTCACCGAGAGGGCACGCGCGGGTGCAAGGGAAGAGAGGCTGGAAGGCAGGCGTGACGCCATGCCTGGAAGGGATGACGGGTTCGCCGGTGTGAACCAGGCAGTTGCAGCTTTGCCTTGCGCTGCGTGAGCAGGTGCACGTGGCTTTGTGGCTTGTCCTGCGTAGGTGCATGAAGCCGCCTCCATGCTGGTTTGCCTTCCTGGTACCTTGTGTACTCGCAGGGTGCAAAAGCCTCCCCCGTGGACTAGCCTAAGGAAGGGGAGCAGTCGCGATGAGCAGCCCCCTGACCGCCTGCGGTCCTGGGAGCCTGTTTTGGGGGTTGCAGGGAGGAGGCTAGGGGGAAGTCTCTCCTGTGAGCACCCGGGTGCCTTGGTTTTGGTTTGAAGGGCTTGTCGTCGGGTTGCAGGGAGCTGCCTAGGGCTGATGCTTGCTGGGTAGCCTTGCCCTGGATCTCCCTTGAGCGCAAATGAACTCCCTCCTAAGTCTCCTGCTCGAACCCAGAGCACGTTTAAAGCAGCGATGCAGCCCCCAGCTTGCGCTGGGTCGGTGATCCTGAAAACACAGCTCTTAGTTGCAGAGTAAAACCACGGGGAAGGGTTGGCCTCGTGCCTGCGTCATCACGGCGGTGTGTGAAATGTAAGAAGCCGCTCTCTCGCTCTCCTTTTCAGTGGCTGTTTAGAAACGTTTGCCTAGAAGGTGCAGCGGGATGACTCCCGGTCACCAGCGTTCGCTGGAAGCCAGCACTCAGGGGTGTGAGCAGTCGGACCTCAGCGTCTCCAGCGTGTGACCAAGTATCTGCAGGTAGCTCTTCCGTAGCCGTCGCCTGCTCCTCCAGGCATTTGTAGACAGGCCCATGTGCACGCCGAGCTTCTCGTGGCAGTCCAGTCTTGCATGAACTTCCCCAGGCAGCCAGCGATCAGCGCGCCGGGCTGCTTGATTTCCTTATCGCCCCTGGAGCACCAGGCGCAGGTGCTGGCGATATCGGGACGATGGGTCTCGTAGGATGTGTGATGAGCGATAGCAGGGAGCAGGCATCTCCCCGTGTTAGACTCTCGAACTCGGCATCAGACCTGCCAGGAGATGCCCCCGGGGAGGCCAGCGGACAAGATGCACCCGGATAGCTCCTGGGAACAGCAGCGGGGTACCCCTGTGCTCTGGGCGGAAAGAGCTGGAGGTGTCCAGAACTGGGGGACGTGGACTTGAACTAATCGTGCTTTATTTTTGGTGCATGAGGATGCCATACATCTCCAGGCCCCTTCTGGGCCGGCTGCTCGGGCCTCGCCCCGACTGCACCGTATTTCACGTTCCCGTCCTCTCTGGCCGCACGTAACCCAGCAGAAGTGGCACATCCTGCAAACCAAACGTTTGTGCGCAGCAGGAGAGGACATCTCCGCAGAGAGCATAGGTAACATGGGGATAGATGCTACGGCTTTCCTGCCCTGCTTACTCACGTGTCGGAGCTCAGGTTTCAGACGGAGTGCCGGTCTGGGAAGTGTCTTCAGCCTCTTTGCTGGTTGGAGGGTTGGCGTGTTGTAGCTGACGGTCGTTTATCCAGAAATCGGCAACTCTGGGGCAGTGAAAGGCCGACTCCCCCTGCTTTGCCTGCTAGTCCCATCCGTCTCTGCTAACAAAGCGCCTCTGGATGGAGCGTGTGCTGCAGAGGGCAGGAGCGTAGGGATCGTTAGCGCGAGCGCGGCAGGGAAATGCCAAGGCAGGCTGAGTGCAACGGACCTGCTGAGGCCGCGCGGTGATTTCTGGGCCGGCGTCGCAGCAGCGTTCGGACGTTTGGGATTGTGGCTTTCGGCAAGAGGAGTGGAACGAGCCCCACGTTCGGCAGAGCAGGAAAGCACTCGCTGGCTCTGAGATACGGCAGCTTTGTCGAGGCCAAATAATAACGAGAAGAATTAATGATAAACTCGTGTGCAAACCTTTCCCCTCCCCAAGACTGGAGCTGTAACGCGTGTCAGCCCGGCTCCTCCTGGGCCCTCGCCCCCGGCACTACCTCCCTAGTCATTTGTGCCCAACCAAAGCCAGGCAGTGCCCATCCCCACGATACCTGTTCATGGGCTTTCCCAAGACTAGGGCCGAATCCTGCTTGCCCGTTTATGTGAGTAGCCAGTGGGTTATTCTTACCTCTGGTGGAAATGTCATGGTAGGCAATAAGATGGCTTGTCGGAGGAAGGGGAGCAGGAGGGTTGCTTTGCTCTGGTCACGTGTGGGTTTTCAGATGCTTTCTTGAAAAAGTCCTCCTCTGTACAAGGAAAGCAGCCAAATGGTGCATTTGTGGACACGTGTAAGCAGAGAACTTTTCTGTACAGGGTAGCAAAAGCCTTTATTTCTTACATGCATTATAGTGGCAGACATAGGGATCAAACAGCTGCTGATGCAGGTAGCCAAGCCCAGTCGCAGCCCCGAGGGGCTCTCGGCTCGCGGGGTCTGTGGGGTTGGCTGCCGGGACGGGGCCAGGACAGACGCCCACAGGCAGAGAGACCTGGGACTTTCACGGCTGCGTTGGTAGGTGCTCTGGCTCTTCAGCTCAAAGGCTGCTGCTTGCGGCTTTACGGCAGCTGTGCCTGACTGAATTGCCGCTGATAGTCCTTGGACAGTGGTGCACGAGGGGCTCCTTTCCTTCCCTCGCTTCCTTTTCTCCAAGGCAGGACGACCGCTGCTATCATGCGGGATAATCGCGGGGGACTGCTTTCCCTGTGCTGAGGCCCATTTGGAGAGAGGCCGAAAACGAAATAAATGCATGAGGCTAGGTCCTTTGTGGGGTCCCAGGCACGGAAGAGAACGGGCTTCCTGTACGAGCCTTATTTGCTCCTCCGAGCCCTCGAGCTGGCTTGCTCTTCAAGCCAACGTTGCACAGAGGCGTGTTACACTTGGGACCTGTCGTCTTAGATGAAATAGTTTCTTTCTCCCTTTTAGAGGTGAGGAGCAGAAATGAGCCCTTGCTCGTCTGTAGTGCTCCGCTGCTTCGGCCGCTTCTTGAAGGACCAGCGTGAAGATGGGGGAGGACCGACTCCCGAGCGTGCGGTTTGCTGCTCTGTGTCCTGTCCGGAGCACAGCTGTGACGTGGCCGGAAACCACGGGGCACCCTGATCTGGCCTGGTGTTGACAACGGCTCGGCCTCCTCGACCCGCTGACCTTCGGGTCGTTATTGCAGCAGCGAGGGGTGCCCTATTCCTGCTAGTAATGTAGACGGAAGCACAGGATCGGCGATGTGGTTTCGCATTGCCTCTGGCAGCGAGCGTGCTAGGGTAGCACTTTTGCTACGTAGGCGTCCGGGTCAGCAATGCAGGCCAGTGCCCCTGCTCTCCGCTCGGGCCCAGGGTCACTGCCTCACCTGTGCTCCCGCGCCTCGAGCCCGTGTCTCCACGCTCAGGGGCGATGCTGTAGGAGCCAGGACGCTGCTCACACCCTGAAATCACCCAGCATTAAACGCCTTTCCCATTTCAAGCTGCGACTATCGGATTGTTTCAGGATATTTTACGGTTAATGTAAATCTGATGTCACCGTGATTCTGTCACCGTGCCAGTAGGATGTAGACCTAGTCAGGTCCTCTTTGGTATCTGATTTTAGCAGCAGGTTAAATGAGCCAAACATAACTTGCTCCACGGAGCGTGATAAGCTAACACCACTTAGGTTTATGGATATTAGTAAGACGTCGCAGAGAAAAAGCCTTAGTGGGCTTAAGCGTTTTCACCCGGTTTCTGACAGTCAGCGCGGTCCAGCCTCCGTCCGGATGCACGGGGGGACTTGGACTCCACGCGGAGATGTGTTCTGGGGACATGGGAAGGAGCACGCAAGATGAACCATGAAGGAAGAGGCTCTTGCCTCTGCTGCGGCTTTGTTTGGGAGCACGGGTGTGCGGTTCACGTTCGAGTCGTGGGTGCTGGGTACATCGCAGAGCCCAGAACAGCTCCTGCTGCACCTGGGGTCAGAGGCCAGCAAAGCAGGGAGACCTGTTGGTGCTGAGGGTCAGCAGCACCAGCCACGGTGGTGGTTCGGCTGTGTGCAAGGGGGAAGCAAACCAGGTGAGCCCTCCTGGGGTTTGCCTTTATAGCATCGAGTGTCGACTCTCAAGCGCTTGCCCCCCAGCGTCAACAAGGCACGTGACCTGGCGTGCGAGAGGGCTGTTGACTGGTGCATCCTTCCTGCCTGCGCGCTCGAGGCAGGGCAGTGCGGGAGCGTGGCCAGGGCTGCACCCCGGAGATGGGACTGCGTGGAAGAGCCTTCCTCTGCCCCCTTCCGTGGCTGGACCCGAGGCCGTCCGTTACCCGCAGGGCCGCAGAGCTCTCGTGGTCGAAACCTCGGGCCTGGTGCTTTGTTGCTGCGGTGGAAAGCTCGGCAGACAGGCACGCGGCGCAGTGTGGTCTGGCTGCTGCAGAGGGGCTTCTTGTAACACCCTGGGATGTCCTTTGTGGGTCTGCTTCTTTGGTGGCTTCAGGGATTGCAAAATGTATGTGTGTGTGTAATCATGCAACTAATGTTGTGTGCTGTTTGGGCTCTTGCAAACCAGCGAGCTTTGCTTCACTACCAGGCAGATGGATTTAAATGGTAATTAAGTTTTAAGACACCTAGAGGGGCACAGCATGATGTGGGCAAGGCAGCGTGGGTTTTGCTAAGAAGAAAGCCGTGCCTCGCTAGCCTGTTTTAAAATTCTCCAAACAGGTCAGCAGCGGTAGGGGTGAAGGTGCCTGGCCGGGGGCAGCAAGGCCTAGCGGTCGCTGTGCTGGATGGGTTTCGGCATCCGTCCCGCTGTAACGGTGCAACTGCCCTTTGATTCTGCAACTCTGGGAACGTGCTGAGCTTGGGTGGGAAGATCCCTGCTGCTTTTGGCAACCAGAAAGACTTGATTTCTGCTAAAATTGGGGGTTTTGCTTGCTGACAGCAAAAACATGCTGAGGATTGTCTGGAGACCGAAGGGAGGAGGACTAGGGTTCCTGCAAGGGCCTTGGCGTGGGGGCAGGAGAGGGCCCACACAATAGACTGAGGGGGAGCGTGGCATATGGGGCAGTGGTTAGGGATCAGAGCGGGTTTCTGTGCTGGAAACGGTGGGCTCTGCAATGTCGGCGCGTTGCTGGGAGCGGGGGTCAACTTTTGTTGGGCTCCAGGTAGGCTGGAGGGCTCTGCCAGGCAGCTGCCCACCCCGGGCACGCGTGATGGGCCTGGCGTGCCGAAGTGGCTCCCTAGGGACTCTTCAAGCAATGCGGAGGGGTTGCGAGGTGAGAAGCAGTCTTCGCTGGTGAACCGTGCGAGAAGGGAAGAGTTCGGAGCAAAGGGCTGAGCTCTCGCACGGAGGGGTAGCTAGCAGGGTAGCGATGGGTGCTCTGCGGGGGGGCGAGGCGAGGGGACCTGGGATGACTTGGGTCGACCAGGACAAAAGGAAGTCCGGGAGCAGATCTGGGCAGCGTGGAAGCTCAGGTCACAAAGGCAATGTGTGTTGGAGGGGTAATTTGTACGACCGTGCATCCGTCCGGAGGGCAGGGGCTCAGCTTGTTCCAGGGAGATCTGCCCGCAACACTGGGATTGAATGCAGTATTTGGGTGAACGAAGCACAGACTGGGCCTATGCTTCTCCCATGGTGCTAGAAACCAGTGGGATGCCTTGGCCTCCAGTACAGGGGATTGGCTTGGGCCCCTTTTTCTCAAAAACAGGGCCCAGAGATGGGGAGGGAAGTGATGGAAGAGGAGAAGTTTTGAGAGGACTAGGTCTGAGCAGGGGCAGGGAGGGCAAATCCAGATCCACGTGATCCTTTGCTCGAGCAAGGACAAAACGCTGGTCAGCCGCACCGAACACGGTTGAATTTACAACCCGTAAAAGGAAATGCCTCTTGTACAGCAGGTAGATAGCTGGTGAAACGTCTTCATGTGAGATGTGCCAAAATTGTTGAGCGTGGACGTGGCACGGTGGGACCGACCCCTGCCATTGCAGTAGATGGGGCAAAAGGTACGGGACGCGTGTAGGGCGTCCGCCTAGCATGGGGCGAGACTGGGGAGAAGCATCTCTCCGTTGGCTATCCACCATGAGATTTGCAGCACCTTCCTTGGGCGCAGCCACCGCCGTTGGGATGCCAAAGGGGCTCACGGTTCACCATGTCGTGGGACCGCCGCCAGCCCCTGTGCACGGGGCTTGCTGGGATGACAGATGCGTTCAGGGCCGGGGCGTGTTCCTTGCTTTGTTCAGCCCCGTGTGAATTGCTGCTGCGTTAAGTGTAAAACTGGTGTTGCCTTGGCCTTGTAATAACCTCTCTCTCCACCTTTCCAGCCCACGACCTTCCCCAGAACAAGACCTCAGCCACGGCGCAGACGGGCAGCCACTTGCAATGCCTCTCCGTCCACTGCACGGATGACATGGGCGACGCGAAGGGGCGGACTGCGGTGCCGACGTGGAGATCCCTGCACTCGGACATCTCCAACAGATTCGGGACATTTGTGGCTGCCCTGACTTGAACAAAAGAGATTATTTTTTCCCTCTTTTTAATTTTAAAGGGCCGCTACTGCTAGGTGGACTATTTTTCTAGGTTGGTACCTGCTTAGTGGCATATGGACTGGAAAGGGTTAATTTAAAGTAAACCTCAAATTTTTTTTTTAATCTTCTGCCACAGTATGTTACCAGTGTTAACCCTTCTGCAGTTAGCACACTTTTGCTTAAGATTTTCCTGCTAGATCATTTCCCCCCATTATTCTGTAATCTTGGCATACCTTTATAGATGAGGCCTTTTCCTTTTTCATCTCAACGTATGTCCAAGTCATGTATGTCATAATAAGACAAAGATACTACTTCTCCTTCTTCTTTTTTTCTTCTTTTCCTCTTTTCTTTCTCTCTTTTTGCTTTGTTCAGTGCTTATTAAAATGGAAATCCTGAAGAATAGCAGTTCAGGAATAAATGCCGGTTGAAGTGAAATTGTCATCATAATATTATATATTGACACCAAGTTTTCGTCAGTCACGTGCAAACCAAACAATTAATGCTCGATTAAGTATTCAGCCTGTGATTTTGTCTTTCCTGAGAGAATTATTTTTGTTATCAAGAGTACATTCAGCCTTCATCTCTCTCTCTCTTAGGTGGAAACAGCTATTCAGTGCATTTGCCCAGATCTAGCGTTGTGTTCGGAACGAGGGGACCGCGCTCAGGCAGAAGATGGCTTGTCAGAGCCGGTCTAACAGGCAGTTTTCAGTTGTTGGTTTTTTTCCTTAAAAAAAAAGAAAAAGAAAATTGACTTCCCTTTTCTGCCCACAACTCGGGTCCCAGTGGAATTGGTTACTGCCTCCCCTCTGCCTGGGGAGGATGAGGGGCGCCGGTCTCTGGCTGAAGTTGCTGGCAGAAGAAGGCGAGTTGCAATGTCCCCTTATCTTCTCCCCTGTAAAGCAGGGGGTCGAGGAAAATGTGTCGCCAGGCTGCCTTCGGCATGGCCTTTCCCCTCTGGAGCAACTCGGTGGTGACGTGGTTGTGAGAGAGCTGCGACATCCTCCGCCTGGTCCTGCCTGCTCCCGGCGTGGGCGGGAGCCAGCACCGAAGCGAAGCCCCGATCCTGCGTGTGCTGCCGGCGAGGTGGTCGGGCTGCCGCTGTCCTGAGCGCGGTGGTGGCTTTGGTGCCGTTCCTGGACGTGCCGCTTCGGATGCGGCGGCGCGTGCGCTAGCCATAACCGTGCAAGTGCAAGGTTGGACGTTGGCAGGAGGGGCACCAAAGCGGGAGCATGCGGGGTTTCATCTGTCGGTGGCAGCACCTCTATTGCTATCCCTCTCCAGATCGGGTGCTCCTGTGTGCCCGAGGGTAGTGCCTTCTAGTCTGTCCGGGGAGGGTGAAGCCAGGTAGACCCCTTGATCCTTCTCGTCACCGTTATCGCGTGTTGGAAGCACGGTATTATTAGATGCATACAATAAAAGGAAAACCATTCTTTCCTGCCCTTCACAGATAATGCGCATCTGGGCAGAAAGCTGGAAGCAAACCAGCTCTGAACAAAAATGCCTCGGTGATCTGATGCTTCTGTGGTTTTATGTAACGCTGCCTATTATTTGTGTAGCCTCGGTTTACAATGCGAGAGGCCAGCCCCACCCTCCCCAGACCAGCTCCGTTTCCTCCGCTTCCTCGCATTTCGCAGCAGCCCCGGAGGGTTAGTCTCGCCCTGAAATGAAGGGCTCCAATAAAGACCTCTGGAGTCTTGCGCCGGTTCCCCCGGACTCTCCGTGTGCCCCTCCGGAGAGCTGGACTTGGAAAGCAGCTTGGATTTATCAGTTGGATTTTAAGCAGACTTCCTTACTGACAGCAGTGGCGAGGGGGTTCTGCTCAGAAAACTTTCCGTGAAACATAGACCCAAAAGTCTTGCTTGCAGCCAGATGCGCTTTCAAAACCCTCCCGAGCCCTGAAGGTGGGCTGGGGTTGTTGTCACCTTCCCTTCCTCCTCTGCTCCTTGGTGTTTAACAAGCTCTCCTTGGCTTTACACGGGATTATTTTGCCTGTTGTATCAGTGATTTGACTTTGGGTAACTTTTGCGAAGGTTTGAATGGGACTTGTTTATATCTTGTCCTGGCGCTGGGTTGCTCTTGGACTGTGCGTTTTTGGCCCCTTTGATAATTCCTGACCGTGGAGTGGAAGAGAGAGAGACAGTCACTTGCGTCTTTCTCTAGGCTTGGGTCTCGATGGGAGGCGCAGAGCCTCCTCTCTGCCTCTGCTATAGGTGTGAGTCTGGCGCAGAATATCCCCAGACAGAGCAGTAGCTGAGCAGCCCCCCACCTTGGCCATTGTCCCCCATTCCCAGGCAGCCCGGCCCAGTTCCTCGTGTCTCAACTCAGCAGAGGTTTTAAGGATGGTTGTAATCCCGTCTCTGTTCAGCAGATCGCTTCAGCATGTGCTTCTCAGCAGAGGTTTTAAGGATGGTTGTAATCCCATCTCTGTTCAGCAGATCGCTTCAGCGTGTGCTTTGCTTCCATTAAACTGTGATGAAATGCAAGCCTCGGCTTAGCCGGGGCGGTAAGTACCTAGCTGAATTGGGACCACGGTGAGCTGAGCTGGGTGCCGGGCGTGTGCGGTTATGGTGCAGCTTCCATGTTTCACGTGTGAGGCTACCCCCATCCTGGAGCAAGCCCCGCTAGCCACGTGCACAGCCCTCCGGTACCTCATCGCAGCTCTCAGGAGTGAAAACCGGGCCGCAGTCGGCATCCTCCTGGCGTTCCTGGACCTGCCTGCGGCATGCCTGCCCCCTCCTCGGCGTGCCAGCCCAGGGAGCAAGGTTTCCCAGTGCCCTCGTATCGGAGACGTGCCCTGTGCCAGGGTTATCGGTCAGCACTGCAAATAGCCTGCAGAGAAATTCCTGCCCTGGCCAGGAGCACGTGGACTGACTGAGGGACGCAGTTGCTCTCCTCCTCCTCCCTTTCCTGGCTTAGTCGGTGCAAGCCAGTGCTTCCACCCCAGGGCGATGCTTTCCACGCACGTGGGGCCTGCTTCTTCCCTTTCTTGCACTGGCTTCGCTCAGGAGGGAGCTCCCCGAAAGTGGATTTCCGTGGGAAGCGAGATGCTGTAGGCCCCGGGTATCTGGAGGCCGAGGGGTAGGTCTCGGCTGGTGCAGACGGTGGAGCCGAGGCAGCTCTGACCGCTCTCCCCTGCTGGACATCCATCCCAAAGTTGGCGGTGCTGTTGGGTCAGTACACGAGGAGAGGGCACTTTGGGGAGGAGCAGGGTGGAAATGAGATGCTGCCACCAAACCATGTATTGCCCCTACCAGTTTGCGAAGTGATGAGACTCTGCCTAAGCCCACGGCTAGTTTTATTCTGGTCTCACCAGCTGGAGCGGTTCGCTCTCACCTGAGCAGAAGGGTGGCTGTCGGTGCCCTTCCTTCTTGCCAAAACCCTGGTGCGACTGGGCACGTCCAGTGGCCGACCGGATCGTCCTAGCTTTGCGGCTGGCCCTGGTGTGTTTGGCACCGAGGCCGCATGCAAAGGCTACGTGTTCGCTGTCGAGCGTTTGTCACCCGCAGTACGTTTTTCTTGCCCGTGTTCTCTGTTGATTTGATACGAAATGCACTGATTTTTCTCTTCTTTTCTTTTTTAAACATATAGAAAATATCAGCCAAGCACTGTATGGTATGGTTAGAAATCAAATGATTTCATTTCTGGAAAAAAGAGTGGCTTTTTGTGTAGGATTGGCTTGTAGGATGTCGTGTCGGAGCCAAATATCGCTGCTCCTGCTTACCTGTCGGGGAAGCTGAGGTGCTAGGAGGGAAGTGAGCCTGGAGATGGGCGTAAAGCAGACACATGGCAGAGCTGAGACAGCGAGGCCCTTTCCAGGTGTTACATTTGTTGCGGGCTAGATCCAAGCTTCCTGCAGCAAATGGGAACGTGCCGGGTGTTAAAAGACCTTGTCCGGAGGAAAAAAGGGCGAATCTGGCACAGCAACAGGGGATCAAACAGCAACTTCTGTGTCGTGCCAGGACAAATGTAACATCCGGTCGGGTCTCAGCAGGGATCTCCTGACTCCTAGCTCGGTGCCCAAACCTTGGGTCATCCCTTCAGGGCGGCTTTCGACATGCATGATGCATATGAAAACGATGCGAGCTAGAAATGCTGCAAAAGTCGCTGTCCAAAGCCCCCCGGATGTTGAAGCTCAGCTGCCTGTTTGCAGGAATTCAGGAGCACCGTTCGCTGAGCAAGCCAGGAGTTTTGTGGTGGAAGTGCGCTGACCGGGTGCACGGGCTTTGCCCTACGTGGCAAGCAACGGCTTCAAATAAATCTGCGCAATATTTGTGCTGCCGCATCCCTGCTGCCTTGCCTCGCCTCGCATTTCCACATTTTACACGGGCTTAGTCCAGGCGCTAGTCTAGATGGCGCATCTCTGAGCTCCTGCCATACGAGGGTCGGTTCTTCCCGACAGTGCTTGCTGATGTTTTTGGTATGCGGTAAAAGAAACGTCACGCTGATTAAGTTTAAATGTAGTAGCCAATGAAGTAAAATATCATATGTGTTTAAGTTATGAGGAGTGATGAGTAATCTCTTTGCCAAAAACGAATGAATAGGCCTTATTTATTAAATGCTCTTTGGGACTTGAACCCAACGAGGATGTAACCTGGGGACGTGTTTTTTCTGCTAGTACGTGTAGTTGTCAGAGCATCAGCGACACAAGGCTTCGACTCATTTTTATATAACGATGCTGAATTTCGGCCAATGTGTAAGGCTTTCAAGATTCACGTGGTGTGTTGGGTGAAGGAGAAATACGTGAACAGTATGCCATCTACTTCATTGAGTGGACTTGCTCTGATGCCATATGTCGAGGTGGTCATCCGAAGGGTAGCCGACCTTTCCACAGCAGGAAATTGGTTCCAAAGCTTTCGGGCACAACGCGATAGCTACATGTTCACAAACTCCTCAAAGAAGTGCCGTGTAATATGACCACAGGTCTCCTAAATGCTCTGGAGGAAGTCACATTTGCTCTAATATTTAAAAAAAAAAACCCCAAAAAACAAAAAAAAAGCGAAAGAAAAAAAAAAAGCAAAAACAAAAAAACAGGATTCGTATTTTTTTTTAAAGCTGCAGTGTACCGTTTTCTTGAATTCTAGATTCACAGCTGTTCAATGGATGGTGTATGAGAGCATAATCCATTTTTATAGAATTGTTTCTCCTTTATTGCTTAAGGCTAATGGAAGAAATAGTCTAATTTTGTCTTAGAATTTCTCTATTAAAATTGTTGGTTTGAGTCCATCCGTTCATAGATCCTGACTGATGAAACTGCAGGCTGTGAATTCCGGCAGTTATAACTTTATCACTATTCACTACCCAAGAATATTACAGCTTTAAAACAGCCTTAAGCAAAAGGATGTTATTTCTTTGTACTAAATTTGGTTCATGGAAAAGAAAAAATCAAAACACTGGTAATCCGTACTGCATAGCAAACTCTTCTGAAAAATGTTATTGCACATGTAAAATATGAAAACTTGACTCTGCTGTGTGTTAGGCAATCCTGTAATCTTTTATTTTTTTTGACTCTTGTTAAATTCATTTCTTAAATGCTTGGTTGGAAGACTGTGACAATAGCTCATGAACTTGAGTGTTATTTTTCTTTCTTTTTTTTTTTTTAAATATGTAAAGTGCAGTCTTCTGTATTCATGCATATTGTATATATCTGTATATGTTTTACTGAGCAACTAAATAACAATAAATATGATGTTAATGGTGGCTATTGGATACTTCATGCCATGCTTTTACGTTATTTTAATGGGTTATGTGCCAAGGTTTGTGGGAGTGGGGAGATGATGCAGCACGGGTGAAATCCCGGGGGCGGTGGGAATTTGGGCACGGATTTTGATGGAACCAGGATCCGGCTGGTTGGCGCAATCCCCCGTCTGCTCTCTCGAGGTGAAGCTGGCCTGCCTGCGGCGTCGGGATCGGGGGTACCTCCAAGGCCTTACGCTCCTCCTGGCCCGGAGGTGACGTCCGCCCTAGCAAGCCCGGCTGCTCTGCAGAAGGTGCGCCGTGACTTTTCTTCTATCCCAGATCGAAGCGACTCAGTCTTATTCTCCAGCAAGAAAGCCGTGCAATGCCTGCTCTCAAGACAGCCCTCTATCCAAACCTTTTGCACCCAGTGTCCTTCTAAGCTTCTTAAAAGCCTTTGATGTGTAACCTAAGTCATACCAGGACATAGACTTGTAGCAAAGGTTGGGCTCAATTTCAGATTTGTTCTTAGAAAGACATTTGTAGCCTAATTCTTTCTCCTGCTAGCACTTTTGAAGCTGCTAAATCCATGGGAAAGCTGCTTGCTTACGGTATTTTCTTGCATACAACACGCACTTCCCCCATCCCCCAAAATTGCAGTGCACGTTGTATAAGAGAAATGCAGAGAGTTTCTGTTGGTTGAAAGCAAGAGTACAATCTGCACTGGATTTGCGAGGAGCAGGCTCTGCTCCCTACTTACTGCAGGGAAATCTGCCTTTCAAAAGCAGGGCGCGTATTATATCCCCTAGCACGTTGCACGCAAGACAGTGCAGCATCACTGATCAGTCCCATCGGGTTAGTGGAGCCTCACGTCCCCTGGTTTTGCCAGGGGTCCCCTGCAAGGTCGATAGCGGGAGCAGGAGCGTTGCCAGTCCTGGGTGGGAGGAAGGGGCAGGGCTGCCGCATCCTTTCTAGAGAACAGCTTTGCTGGGGGCACGGGCCCGCTACCCCAGCCAACAGTGCTGCGTCCAGTTGCTGAAAATTGTAGCTAGGTTGGTGGGAGCAAAAATGATAAACAGATGAGCTCCAGCCGGCGTGTTTAAAAATCCTTTCCTGTCTCGTTTGCTCAAGATTCAAGCTCTGTTACACTCTTGTTAGTCTTCCAACGAGCCCTCCAGCAAAACAGGGAACTGAATATGCGGGATTTCCTCATGCAGAAAAAACGAGCAAAACCCAACCAAACCTCAGCTTTCTGGTGGTGGGAACAACCTGCTCCTGGAAAAAGAGGAGAGTGCCCTAGCCGATGATCTCTCTTTGGAAGTCGCCCGGAGCAAGCTCGAGCGCAAGAACCACTGCCGGTCCGGTTCGGAGACGGGGCACGAGCTCCGGCTGCGTCCTAGCATGTGCTTCGTTAGGTAACTCATAACGCGCACGAGACGGCCACATGTAACGAACCTGCCAGTGTGTGCGCAGCCCTTGGAAACTCCGCTTTATTTGTCATCGCTACCTCTCTGGTAACCTTTAAATCCGCTTCCAGTTGGAAGCTCAAGTAGCATAGGGAGAAGGAAAAAGGAAAGCCCTCCAAAAAGTATGATTTAAGACCGACTCCAGGCTAGTGGAGGGATGAGATTTTTCTTCATTTTAAGGTCTTGTGAACAGTATGTGGCTTATAACCGTACTTCATGTCCAAAGATGTGACATCCTCTCCACCCCCGTGAATAAGCTGGCTTGCTACAGCGATCAGCAGAGAGGGGACTTTGTTAATCTTAGCTATAAAGGCCTTACTATCCATCCAATACGGCCTCCCGCTAAACTTGGCGGTTATACTTTTAACTCCGTTCTTTGCAAAAAACAAATTGTCACTTCTTATTTTTGCAACTTTGTGAGCTGTGAATATTAATATTCACCACAACTGCTTGCTCACTCCTTGCCAGGCAGGGGAAGTGCAAGACTGGAAGTCCAGGGAAAATGTGCAGCTGGTGACACAAAGTACACACTCAGCGTGAATATGTACGGATTTTTTTCATCCGTTATAGCCATTTTACATGTCAGGATTGTTGTGACTGTAAAAGAAATCTGGGGAAAATTGGTGGGAGCGATGAATTCTTTCCCCGGGGGGGGAAGTAACAGAAGGTGAAGCACATCTTTCCAGACAACCTACTTTTTCCTGGCAGAACCAGATTGGAGGGGTGGTTTCGTCCCGCTCGCATGGTCGGAGAGCCCTCCGAGGACCCGGATCCCACCCCCAGGGGCTCCCGCGGGGTCTCCAGCATTTCTCCTTTATACAGGACGGATCACAGTGGGGCAATGCTCTTCTCACTGAGGGGACAGCCCAGTTTTCAGACTGCATCTAAAGGCCCGTAATGCCAGATGGCATGCACGGGGGGGTCCTAAGGGCTCCTAAGGTTGTGCTGTCGGATCAGACCGAGACCCACTTGACGCGCGTTTCCAGCTCTTCATCTGAGGAAGAACAGCAGCTTCCTAAAATCAGATGCTGCTAAACATACTTTTCCCGAATCCATTGCAGCAAATGCCTGGGCTGTCCGCAGCAATTCAGCATGGCTGTTGCACTTCATGCCTTCGTCCTACCCTTAGTCCTCCCTGGATGTGGTGCACGCAGCGTGGCGTGGCGTGGCGTGGCGTGGCGTGTCCTACCGGTACAGAAGCACTCGGCTGTGCTCGTCCTGGCAGCGTGTTGCTCCGCAGCCCGTTTCTTTTGTTGCTGCTTGCTGCCTTGTTCCAGCTGTTTGCTCTTCGGGGCTTGGCCACGATCCTGTGGCAATGCCAGGACCAGAGCAAGCTCTTTGGAGCGGGGGATTTCTGGCTTCCCTCGCCCCGTCTTGGCAGCTAAGTCTGTTCCTACCTTGCCAGCCCTGTGGATCTTGGAGAGACTCTGCTCTCGCTCTCAACCCGGGCTCCCTTGGCCTTTGTCCTTCCAGCTGTCGTGTGCATTTTCTCCTAGATGGGGCCTCTTGCTTTCCCCCCTCCACACGACTTCTGTCCGCAGGGGCCGTGGACCTCATCTGGAGACCGCTGACATTTATACAGCTCCATCTCCTGCGTCTCCACGCCGCCCTTGGAGAGCAGAGCGTGTCTGGCTAGGCAACAAATGCAATCTCCTTTTTGCCAGGAGAGGTGCTTTAGGGTGCCAGGGGCTCTGTGCGGTTTCCCAGCCTGTTAAATTTATCATCTTCCTCTTTTTTTTTTCCCCCTAGCAAATGTGCGTGTAAGCTGTTTGTTTTGCGGTAAGTAATACCCGGATTCGTGCGCTGCCTCTAGCACGCCCGTCTGATGGTTGCCTCGGGACAGCGAGCGCGGCTTGTGTGCAAAGACCCCTTCCTTGGTGCCAACCAGAACCGGCAGCAGCTGCTCCTCTGCCTTGTAATGGTCAGCGGCGATCACCTTCCTCCTGTGCGCGGGGCCGAGGAGCTGGGGCCGGCGCTCATCCCGGGGCACGGGAGCGGCTGGGAGATAAGCCGACCGGCTCTCTGGCTCTGGAGCCATTGTGCTGGGTTTACATAAGGCTTTTGATGGCTTCCCCGTTTCCCCCGGTGCTGGTGGTGTTTAGCTGGCTCTCGATGTTTGCCTTGCTGTCCTGCTTTGTGCTTTGTGGTCACTGGGTCCCGGCCCCCAGTTTGTACTGGAGTTTAGTGAATAGCCCATAATCCGTATTTAAGGAAAGGCAAAAGCTTGCCTGGAGCTTTTGTCAGTCCCGTCCTCCTGGACGTGGCGCTCTGTATTTTGAGCCTCTGCCGAGGTTTGAAATCTGGCTGTAGACAGACCTGTTCTCCCAAGCCGTTTAACTGATTTAATTATGTCCTTTGAATTACTTTCTGCACAAGGCTTTGGCATGCTCATCACGGGAGAGACTCTCTAAATATGTATTGTGCTCTCGGCACCCCGGGGTCCAGCCGCACCGCTGGTGGGTTCAATGCCAAAGAGTCTGCCAGCCCCTTCTGCAGTCACCGGAGGCCGTACAAAGCTTGCAGAACAAGTGGCTGCCTGGCCGCGTGCACAGCCCTGCTCGTGGCTCTCGGGCACGCGTGTTTCTTTTTGGAGGGTGCTGTTGTGGCCAAAGACCTCCGCATCCTGTTGGAAAGCGGCTGTTGGAGGAGCATCGCTGCTAGCTCTCTGGGAGCTTTGAAACGTGCATGCGTGGCCGAAGCAGACCAGAAACCCTTGATCCTTCGGTCACAGAGCCACCGTGCTGTGCTTCCCAGTCGTGTCCAGCCCTGGGTGGGTTGGTTTCCCCCGGTTTCTGGGTGCCGTTGTGCATATCCGCGCATGGAGATTAGCAGGACCGAGACACGGGACGTCCATGTCACCAGCAAGCCAAAGAGCAGAGCGTTCAGAGAAGGGCACTTTGGATCGCTGTTCTGCCAGAGCCTCGTTACAGGCTGGCATAATGATCGTGCTCTTGTCTTTTAATTGCAATCCAGGTGTCCCAAATCCTGCAAGCTCCACACTCGAAGGCAGGCGGTCACCTACCTGCTGGGAGGACGTAGCGCGTGGGCCCAGACGGCAACAGCAGCGGCTCGATGACTAATGTGTATTTTGTTTGCAATGTGTGCACAAGCTGTTGGCGCAGGTGAGTCACGCAGCGCTGCATTGGCCGGGGCCGGGGGGGGGGTCTATCCGGAGTCACCTGTGCCTGGAGGACGGGGCAGCCGGGCGTGCTGCTGAGATGAAGGTCCCGGTGGGATCGTCTAGCGCTGCCCTGGTCCCTGCGGCCTCCTTCATCGGTGCTCTGCCTGGCACACCTAGCACCAGCGGTGACCTTTTCCACACTTCGAGAGGCCTCACCACCACGTTCACGTTTCCCGTGGCATGTCCAAGCAAGACCGTCTGGGCATGGGTTGAATGAGGCACCCTTCTCCTGCGTGGTCGCTGTCACGTTCACGTTGGGCTGGCGTGCCGGGAACGCGCAGGAGACGTCCTTTTCCAAAGAGCAGAGCCTGGGGCCTGTCCGCTGGCCTTGCATGGCCACGTCACCGGAGCCCCAGCGTCCACGCTACGTCCACACC